AGTTTGTTTACAGGAATACATGTATGCTTGTGGCCTGTGATGAGGGCTTTAAATTAGGTAAATTTAGGCTAATCTAGAATCATTTTTTTTACTTTTATGGTCAGATTACTCAATAAGAGGTGTAAATAGAAATGTCTCTAATATATTTTTACTTTGTTCCGAGTCCAAAAAAGAAAGAATTCGATTACGACCAGGTTCTGTTACCCAACCCTACTGTCTTGTGATATGTAGTTATATATCCTCCACTGATGTTATACGATGCACTCTCCCTGAATACAGAAAACCACAAAAACATCTCCGTAAAGGGGTAATAAAACATGCCATCAAGCCGCCGTGAAGTGAATCAAACCTGAAGTGCGTTACGGAGTTTATTCCCGCGCCGGTTTTCCACGCGGGAATTGCGGGGCCGTGTTTGTGGCGGGTGATATCTGCGGCTGACGTCAGTAGTCCATTATCACACGGCCTGCACATGTTGTTGTAGTTATGACTGTCTGCCTTCTGGGCCCTCTGGTCTGACTCAACAGTACACTTACACATCATGATGTAACATGGGGAGGGGGGGGGGTGATGGTAAATGTACATTTTGTATGTCAGGGTCAAAACTCCGATCTGGTAGCAATTCTACTGGTAGAGATCCCGTTTGGAGTCTGTAAATTTTAACTTATTCGCTTGAAAGACAGAAGCTTTCAACTTTGATTCATGTCACTTGAGATTAATGAATTATTGACTTGAAATGGGAAAAGGGGAAACCACCCTTTCACACTAAGACCCTGTTCATACCAGACTTATATTTAGCGGTTTCAACCGGTTTTTCAAAAACCGATTTTTATTTAACCTGGTGTGAACGCAAATTAACCAGTTTTTTAGGGGTTTAAATCCGATTTTGAAAAACCACCTCCCGAGGTGGTTTTTGAGGGGTTTTTGAAGGGTTTTTCCACCGAAAAACCTGGTCTGAACGCTAAGGGTTTATTGAACCGGTTTTTGCGTCATAATTCCGGGGTCACGGGTCAGCATCCTGCATGGCCGTGTGCGACCTGCAAGCTTTTTTGATCGCGTTGTTTTGACCAACTTTGAGTTCGTTTCCACTGTTTTTCCACGGTTTTTCTTCATTTTGCGATGGAATCAGCAAACGCAACCTGGTCGGCGAACGGGACGCTCCTGATACTAAGGTTTGGAGAGTAGGAGTCGCCAAATTCGAAAAAGCTAGGGGGGGGGAGGGCTCTACCGAAACAAAAATGTTGGAGGAGGCTGATTTCTTGAAGATAAAGGATCAGTGCTGCACTAAGGTAAAAAAACAAACTGAAGACGGCATACAAGCAAGAAGGCCAAGGACAACAATCAGAAGAGCGGGAGGAACGGTTATTCAAACTGCAGTCATGACCGATTAATTGGATATTCACCGGACAGGATTTTTACAAAACCGGTTATCAAAAGTCTGGTATGAACGCTAAGGGTTTTAGCCGGGTTTTTGAAAAACCGGTTGAAACCGCTAAATATAAGTCTGGTATGAACAGGGTCTAAGCCTAAGAGCTGGCATGTTCACGGGGCTGGGAAACTTGTATGACCTTCAGCTAGATCATAATGAGATTGATGACATTCAGATTGGAACTTTTGATTCACAACTGAGGGTCCTGAAAATGTCTGACAATAACATTACTACATTTCCCTTTGAAGAGTTGTCAAGACTTCAAAGACTTTATCGTCTTTACCTTGACAATAACCAAATGACAACCCTTCCCTCTGTGGCATATAATGTACTCACAACCATCTCTGATGTAGACATTAATAACAACCCCTGGAAGTGTGACTGTAGGATGATGGACTTTAGGTTGAAGATGACTGGATTTTATCCATTTGAAAACCAGATCAATTGTTCCCATCCTGATCACCTCAGTGGACTGAAACTTACAGACATCAACCCTGAAAATCTTTTCACAAACTGTCAAGAACCAACAGTTTTAAGATTTGAGAAGAGCAAGGATAACATTCTGGTACCGGGGGGTACTCTATATTTAATCTATGAAGCTACAGGAATCCCCACACCAGATATCACAGTCATTCTCCCATCTGGATTGAATGCTACTGTTGAGTCTAGTGGGAGGGTGACTGTGGATGTGAATGGTAACATCATTGTAAGAGATGTTACAGCAGCAGATGCTGGCCTTTATGCTTGTATTGCAGAAAGTCTAGTGGGCTACACAAATGCCCTGCTTACTGTAGATGTAACCTATGAACAGCCAGCCATTGTGAGGTTTGAGAGAGGCAATATTATGGTACTAGGGGAGACTTTCTGGATGATCTGTGAAGCTTCCGGAATCCCCACACCAGACATCACAGTCATTCCGCCATCTGGACTGAATGTAACTGTAGATGTGAACGGCACCTTCACCATCACCAATGTTACTGCAGTAGATGCTGGCCTGTATGTCTGTATTGCAGTAAATCTAGCCGGCTCAACTTTTGCCACCCTGGTTGTAGATCTACATACTGTGCCAACAACTGTTTTACCACCTTTACAGACGCCACCTCTTGCTACAACCTCAGGCAACCAAGAAAGCACCACTGACCAGGACCCTGCTCAAGCCTCCTTCTCTCCACCTGTTTCTGTTGCCTCGTCACCTCTAAAACAGCCTGAACCTGCCCCCACTTTCTCCTTGCCTGTCCTCCTTGGTGCTGTCTGTGGTTCGGTAGCCGGTACCCTGTTTATTGGTGGCATCGTTCTCGCTATCTGGTGCAAAAGAAGCAACAACCAGGGTTCTCCCAAACGCCCAGACTTCAGTGTTGTTTTTAACAACACCAACACCACGACTACTGTGATCACCAATGGGCACAATCTGACAGGGCAAACTCAGCCCCAACCAACTCGGCCACCCTCCTCCCAGTTTGAGCCTTACGAAGAGGTACAGCCTCCTCAAAGAGGTGCAGTTATGATGCAAACTGCTAGAGGTCTCTCTTTGGATGCCAGAAATCCCCATCTCTTCCCACGGCAACCCTCCTCCCAGTTCGAACCTTACGAAGACGTACAGCCTCCTCAAAGAGGTGTAGTTCCAAGCCAAACCGCTAGGGGGCAGGCCCTTCGACCACCCAACAGGAGCAACAATGAACCTCCCCCAGTCCCGCCTCCCCGCACAGCCAGTGCTACTGGGTATGAGAATATCCCTGAGCACGCCTACCAACCTCTGGCAGTCACTTGGAATCAGCCTGACAATGGTCAGGATGCTTCTCATCACTACCAGTCACTCAGAAGGACCTAAATAGATTCTGTAAGGTTTTATCAACCAAAAGATTTAATTCCCACCCTTGAGATTAAAAAAAGCCAATTAGACAAACAACCAGCCTGAATGTCAAAACACTCTCAGATTGTACAGCATTGATATATATAAAGACATAAATGTAAGACAGTCACTCAGAAGAACATAAATTAGATCCTGAAAATTTTCAAAACTCCCACCCTTAAATTAAGATAAAGCAAGCAAATTAGACAAGACTAAACAACCAGCCTGAATATCACACAGTTATGTTTAAAGAGTCGGTGATGCATTTGATAGTTACATACATGTACAGTCAAAACACTCTTACTCTTAGCTAATGTACAGGCTTATGGTGATAGCAAGAGATAGGAATAGCCATCTAATGATAACCTAGTAATTTGTTGTAGAGTCATGATTGGATGAAAATAATATTGTAGTCAGAAGGATCTATTTCTAAAAGCATTTTGTTGGTTTGGTCATATTCATTGTTCAGAAGCTTATTATATAGTAAATGATTCGAAGGACTTTAAAAAATAGAATCTGATAAATTGTAAAAAGTCATGATTAATATTTTGTGTTTTGTTTTTCTTTCTCATAGATCCAAAAGCTAAATATTTCTAAACATGATTAAAAGTTTTGATACCTATTGTTTTGTATTTGGTGTTTATGAAGTCTTTGTATTGTCAGTGTTGTGTGTGTGTGTGTGACACTGTGTGTGTGTGTGTGTGTGTGTGTGTGTGTGTGTGTGTGTGTGTGTGTGTGTGAGTGTGTGTGTGTGTGTGTGTGTGTGTGTGTGTGTTCTGTATCTGTATCTGCATTGTATAGCCGGTATAACCGCCTTTCGGCATAACACACCAGCTGTGAGTGTGTGAATGTGTGTGTCACAGTGTACATGTTGTACATGACAACTTGTAATGCGGCCATATACCGCTATATGATTGTTTGTGTAACCTACTACAACTGTGCACATGATAGTGAGCACGTATGCTGATGAATATTTAACTGTCCTGGTCAATGTCCAGTCAAGAGTACCATGTTCAAAGTTCAAATCAGGCTTTTCTAGTTACGACTGGTTGTGACTGGTTGTGACGCAGTTCTAAAATAGACGAACAACATTTAAGCTCAGCAGGTCCAAGGAGAGAAGACATCCCACAAGTCTGAAGTTCTGACTGTCTTCAAAAGAAACTTTGGACAAACTTGGAACTTCAAGGTACTTTTGGACTTTTTTAGAAGGCATCATGTTGGTACATTATACTTAATACTGCCCTGTTGCTATTCACTGATCCCAAACAGAATGTCACAACTAACAATTACACTTTTCTTGTTACTTGCAGGGTTTGTGCAGATAATTGGGAAAGTCTTGGTTGTGACTGACAGCTGTCCCTGCATCATAATCTAGGTAAGTTTGGTCCCAGCAATCAACCTCGTACATCAACTAAGTAAACAATTGTTAAAGGCGGAATGAATAATCTTAACTTGTTAGTCTTGTAGCTTTTTCCATAGAATATCCAAAATTAAATAAAAAGTATATAGATGCTAAAATGATTGTTTCAATTATCATTCAGGTTCCAGGTTTGACATCCCAAGTGTACAGTTGCAGCTGGGGAATAGCTTACAGGTGTCAATCTTCACAACATCAGTATTGAGGTGAGTTTGATCCTACAAGACAGTACACACGTCAAATGAAGAAGAAGTAGTGTTATATTCTTGCAAGATGTAAAATCAAACATGCACAGTATAGTTTATCTGTATCTGTATAGCCGGTATAACCGCCCTTTGGCGTAACACACCAGCTTCTGTATCTGTATAGCCGGTATAACCGCCCTTCGGCATAACACACGTCCAGCTTCTGTACCTGTATAGCCGGTATAACCGCCCTTCGGCGTAACACACCAGCTTCTGTATCTGTAGAGCCGGTATAACTGCCCTTCGGTGTAACACACCAGCTTTTGTATCTGTATATCCGGTATAACTGCCCTTCTTCGTAACACACCAGCTTCTGTATCTGTATAGCCGGTATAACTGCCCTTCAGCGTAACACACCAGCTTCTGTATCTGTATAGCCGGTATAACCGCCCTTCGGCGTAACACACCAGCTTCGCAGGCACGCGGCGCGGTGGCAGCTAGCTATATCACACCGAAGGACTTGTTACACTCAATCTTGCACATTTAATTGCAGGAGTTGTTTAAAGCTTTCTAGTGATGATGCCCCAACTGTGCTTGGTGGCAACGAGTTCCAGTCTACAATAGTTTCTGAACTACGAGTTTCTGAACACCTCAATTCTTGGTTGATAACTCTGATATTTGAAGGCATGACTGTTTCTTGTTCTTTTCTGGGCTGGTGTCAGATACTTAGTGGTTGGTACGTCGTCCACCAGTTTATTAGTCATTTTGTACATCATTTTGTACATCAGTTTCAACATTCTACACCTGTCTTCCAGAGACCCCCACTGTAGGTTTCTTTTCAATTCCGTTACACTAGCACCCTTTTCATAGTTGTTTGTGCAGAATCTTGCAGCTTGGTTCTGTACCCTTTCCAGTTTCGTCTTTCTTTGTATATGGAACCCATACTGTTGCGACATATTTAGGTTCGGTCTTACAAGCGACGTGTATGCAAGGTGTATGCAAGTGATTTTACCCTGTTGGACATGACCACAGATTGCGCTTATCCATAATCACTCCCAATGTCTGTTTGGTCTTCGCAGTGATGTTGTTAACATGCGTGCCCCACTTCAGACTACATTTTGTACTTGTCAATGTAACACCGAGATACGGATTGGGTTTTTGTTGTTGCCAAAGCTTGACCACAGAATAGGT